TTACCTTTCACCTTATTTTTTTCAATGTTTTCTTTTTTTTGAAACATCTTCAACTTTTATTTTTTCGATGTTTACTTTTACTGAAACATCTTCAACTTTTACTTTTTCGATGTTTACTTTTACTGAAACATCGTTAACTTTTTCGATGCTTACCTTTACTGAAACATCTTTAACTTTTATTTTTTCGATGTTTACTTTTATTGAAACATCAAACTTTTATTTTTTCAACAATTTTTTAACCTTAACTTTTTGAGAAGTTTTCTGTCTAATGTGCAAAGATAAGTTGTCATTGTTTGAATTAGCAGAGGTGATCAATCTCTTACCAAATTAAGTAACAACTGGACCGACACAATCAATAGACAAACAAAAATCTTTGCAAGTTTACAACCCTACTGAAGCATATGGTAAATCAGTATCAAGTATAAAAACTTAACTGAGTTAAAAATTTCGCCTATATTTCATAATAAGGGAAACTCACAAATTTTGTTGAGTGTTAACTGTCCTTTTGTTTGGGTAACATTTAAGTTTTCACATTTTTTTTCATAGGAATATTTAGTTTTGACCAAGTCCGAAAAAGCAAAAGTTTTACAAATTTCCTTTAAGTTTTTTTTTTTTTTTGATTTAATCGTGTTAAATCATTAGGAAACAAAAGTTTAAAAAAGGAACTTAATTTTGTTTGCCATTACTAATTTAATTGACGTTTAAACCGCATTTATTTCCTTCAAAAACATTTTAAATGCACTATAAAAACAATATATCATATTTTAAAAAAAAGCAACATAAACACAAGAAATGCAATTATAACTCTTAAAAACATTCAATTCAATTATTCATAATAAAAAGTTTTATCATTACTCATATCTAATTTCAGTAAAATATGATCACCCTACTCTCCAACGTCGACCTTCATCAATTTCGTTGAAGAGAAAAAAAAAATATCATAATTTAAAAATAAAACGAATATTAATATAAGAAATGCAATCCAACATTAATAATATACTCAATTATTCAGAATAAAAAATTTTTTTGATCACTAAAATATGTAATCATAACAGTATCACAAATTTTGAGAAAGAAGAAAAAAATAATTTATATATCACTTTTTCTCCTTCAATACTTGGCGATGAGAAAAAAAATCATTAGCGCTCTTTCTTTTTTTTATTAATCACTAAAAATCAAAGAAATAAATGTTTTAGAAAAAAAAATACTTAAAGGATACGTAGCTGGATAAAGTTCTAATTAATCCAAAATATATCTTGAAAGCCACAGCATCAGATGAAAGTTGAAAGGAAAAAAATTATTCTTTTTTTTTCTTTTCTTTTCGTGAAAATAATTCATAAATTAACACCGAGAGTGAAGGAGAAATTGAAGCTTATTTTTCTTTGAGTTCTGAGTAGGAGGGAGGGAATGCCGAACATCTAAGTAGACCATCATAAACCATTTCGGTGTGTGAAAACACTTCATCGACGATTAAATCCAGAGCAGTGGGGAGTCCAATCAAGTTTTTCTCTTCAATCCAAGGGGGTGAAAACTCATCCTTCCTTCTCGACGAGGTAGCAGTCACGTTAGGCCTAGTTCCCAATATATAGAATTGCTAAGTCCGCGAAGCCAACATCCTGCCGGCTTGTAATACCGGTGTATCCACACCGATATTTTTTAGTTAATTAAGAGTCCAAACAGCATGATTAACGAGTCCAGTTTCGGCATAATCTTTTTTATTTACTAACGATGGTGAAAGCATACATGTCAGCCCCCTCCAAGCTGGAGAGGGTAAGACTCATATCCCGTCTAAACTGACGTACGTTAGCTAGGCATTATAAACAACAAAAAGACACGCAAAAACATTAGGTCCTGCGTTTTATAGGATGATTAAAAAGTGTGAAGAGGCCAGTCATTATTGCCTTTTCTGTATTCTTACGCCTCATCAAAATTATTTATTACTCACAGCAAATTGTTTAATCTTTCCTTATATGGAAGTGAAAGATCTTAAAGTAACTTCTCTTTTGAAATATAAATCTAATTATTATTCATTGGCATGTTTTTAGCCTTGAAGTCCCAAAATAGACTTTCTNGTTCATTTTATCTCCTTCAGTTGGTTTTTCCCTAGTTTCCTTTTCTTTTGCAGAAAGGTCTACTTTGGGATTTTCACCTGCAAATGCAGTAATTTGAGTTGTATTTTTGTCATTTTCAGCCATAAATTACCTCAAATAAAAAGCTCAGGTAAAGAAAGTCAGCCCAGCATTGCCTGAGTTACTGGGTAAGGCAATTACTCTAGATGTTCGCCAGTCAAACTAGAGGCTCCGTTAAGACACTATAACCGCAGTGCCATTCACCCAAGGCACGGGTCGCGTAACACCTGGGTTACGGGAGTTGGTTCGCGACCTCCTATTTGTTATTCAGAGGCTATCCTGTCAGTGCTACAGGACATTCGGCTATCCACCACCTGCCGTCGCGCCTGGTAGCCGCTCAAGCCCCAGGGTCATTAGGTCACAGTCATTAGTTATAAAAACAAAACTGCATTTTTAGTTCGGCATCTTTAGTAACTTTTAAACATCCAAACATATTTCGTCCAACGACCTTCAGTTTGGTCCTGTTCCATTCAGATTTATCTACATCAGACAGTATCACTTGTCTGAAAAGTAAAGGTTTAGTTTTCTTTCTTGTAAAGAATATGCAAAATAGGAGCATTTCACCATATATTTAAGCCTAATTTGTAAAGAATCCACATGAGACAAAAATGGATAATAAATTTGAAATTAACTTACCAAATAATCACTTTCTCCTTACTGAAAAGCAGCAAGCCAGTGTTAGATAAATTTTATATACTATTTTAAAACTTAAAAAATTAGCTATTGCAAATCAGCCAGATTCTCAGTGGTCGAAACTCTAAAAAAGTTCTCCAAATCTTTAAAAAATAAATAAATAAGTAGCTCATAATTACTTATCATTAATTATTTTTAGTTTTCGAAAGTATGAAGAATAATATAAAATATTTAATTAACATTATATCATAACTATTATTATTCTATTTTCCACACAAAGTGGTTAGGAGTTTGCCGTATTTAAACGTGAGGTCTTGTTATACGCTTCTATCAGATGTTATTTCGGAAATAATTATATGTTCATTATTGTTATTAATATTTCACATTTACAGAAGATTAAAAATCATTTGTTACATTGACCCTCTAAATAATTTGTATACAACAGTAGTTTAAAGCCTTTATACAAAATTGAATGCAATGTAAAAAAATTCGGAAATATCTTTAACCAGTATTTCATACAAAGTTTCTAATTATCCCAAAGTTTAGTTAAATGAAACACCATTTTATTTTGGTTGCGACATAAAGTGTTAAATTGTGAAGTATGATCGAGAAATACTTCCATGGTGCAAACTAACTGCACCAAAATTTGGTTAAAGAGAGAACTTTGACGGTGGCTGTAAACTGAACGATGTTTGTTTAGGATGGCATGTTTTCTTTACAACTCGGAGACGACTAATGCATGTTGTTTCAAGTATTGACTTATTTAGGTAAGTAAATATTTCATTTGCATTAATTGAAGATCATTTCTTAAATTTAGTTGGAGGTATGAAATAGATATATAGGATCCTTGATGGCGATGATATCATTAAATCTATTAAATTAAGTAGAATGAGATGGGCCGGGCATGTAGTGAGAATGAGCCCAGAACGAACAGCATTGAAAGTCTCTAATGCCTCCAATAAAAGGCCAAGAGGAAGGCCCGAAAAGAGATGGAAGGACTGTGTAGATGAGGATTTTGCCATCCTAAAAGTAAGGAACTGGAAAACAATTGCTGGGAGAAGGGCAGAATGGGAAAAGCTTCTGAGGAAGGCCCAGGCCCACAAAGGGCTGTCGTGCCAATGCTGATGATGATAAAATAGTTTGTCATAAAGCAATAAATAGGTGTTTCGTTTCTCAAAAATATCTACCTTTGGTGCAATCTTCTACTGAAAGTACTCGTGAAAATTCTACTACTAGTGAAAATACCAAAATATGGTAAAATTGAACTTAATTTTATGTAGCTCGAGGAAATGAATATCAATGTTAGGTGCAATGTGGCTCAGGATTTGCCACAGTGTATTTCATATAAATTTACAATTTCAATGAGATTTTAAAAACGATCTCCTGTATTCTTCTCGCTGATTATATATAAACAAAAGAATGATCGTGCAGAACCAATAAAAACAAAAAATAGTTGCCCAAAGTTGCATTCGTTGATTTTAGTGATGGAAATAAAAAAAGGTAGGTTCAGTAAATTTTTTCCATTTTTAGACGTAACAATGATTAGAAAATTAAGCAGAATTTTTATATTACTTTCAGAATATATATGTAGTAATAAATATATAAAGTATCTAAACAATTTCCAATTTTTCTCTGAAATTCAGAATTTTAATGTTCATTATGTTATATTCATTACATATATATATAACATAATGAATATTTTTTTTTCTAAGCAAATGAGTACCTTAAAAATTAATAGATTATCACCTTTGAACTTTAGACTTAAATATTTTATAAATTATACCAGTTTGGAAAGATTATTTAGCTAGCTAAGTGTTTTTCAAAATAACATCACGTTAATGTTGAAAACATAGTCATTGCCTAGTGTACATTCATACATAAAATTATATGTAACACATTGAATTATGAAAGAATTTTTATTGGTTTACTGACTGGTTTTAAATTTCCAATACACAGTAAAGGTCAAAAATCAATGACGATTTAATATTTTAAGATATTCATGCGTTAAATTTTTGAAATATGATGAAACAAAGTATTGATTCTCTCAGAAAGCGTGCATTGCAAACAAAAAAGAAATGAAACAGACCAAGTATTGAAACGATATCTTGTCTTGATTCATCTTTCTACATCTATAAATAACTCAAATCAAATATCTATCGTAATCTCAAGTTGAACAAATGTCTGAGGCTGAATTGATATATGCTAATTCACACTTGAGACAATTTACTCACATTTTTCGATCGTGGCATAAGAAATCAACTATATGTTTAATCAATTCGTTTCACATGAAATGATTTGTATATAAATATACCTTTTCGAGATAAATTTTGAAATTACGAGAAAACTTGAACAAGATTTGATACTTCAAGAGTAAGATTATTTTCTGATAGTTCTTTTAAAAAATTATAACATTTATAATGATTGATATTGTAGCAATTTCCACAAGCTAAATAATTAATTACTATGAAAGTCAATTATTCAGTGACAAAACGCATCGTATTATATTTGTAAAAATTTGAAATGAAATTCCTTATAAATCTTAAAGAAACCTTAAAGAATCATTATCTAACTCAATAAGGATTAAAACTAGTTTTTTGACAGGGAAAACAAAGATAAAGGCATGAATTTTAGGCATTGGAAATGTTTTGTATTAACGATTAACCTGCTTTAGTGGATATTTTTCATTTATTGCGCATTTGGTTCAGTAGTATTGCAACCATATGATACAAAAATCAGATATATCTTTTTATGTTTAAAAAACAAATTGAATTAAATGAACGTCTTGCTTATCAAAGATTAATGTTAATAATGAAATAAAAGAATAGCCTGCTCCAAGTGTTTTCAAAAATTAGTTTTGAAACATTGAAAAAAATGTTTTTAAATTTGACATAATTAACAATATCAATAAAAGTATTCCTCAAATATTATTGATTTTTTTTAAATAAAATAGTCATTAATTTTCTCTTATTTCAGCTTTTATTTTTTCTGAGTTACATGAATTCATACTGTTGAAAAATGCAGTAACAATATGTCTAAAGAATATGCCGACTTCTAGTTTAAGTCTTCAGTTCAAATAGTTTTCAAAAGTGCTTTGTAAATATATTTGTAAGCAGATTTTTTTCATACAGATTCTTTTATTACATGTATGTAGCATATTGTACAGTTGTGTTTTATTTCATTTTCTAACCTTTGTTGAACAGCTGACCATATTCGGGGTTTCAGCTACCAAAGTGTAACTCCGTAGCCTTGTAATTTTGAATCCAATCCGAAAACAAAAGGTCCTGGATCAAGTATTGGGAGAAATTGGCCTTTGTAGACTACTCTTTCATGGAACTAACCCATATTTGCATTGCAAAACCCTGAACCCTGAAAGAAACCTAAGAAAAACCCTGAAAATTTCTCAAAGTTAGCCTGATGGCAAGAGAAATCTAACGCATGATTCGTCTACCACTGAGGATATTTTACGTCATCACTGTGGTTGGGATGTAAGCAGAGTGTAAATTCAATTCTTAGCCATCGCTAGGATTTGAACCCCGGGCACCTCATTGGGATGCGAGTGCTCTATCCCCTGAGACAACACGACTCGTGTTTAGTTATTGATAAAAGTTACACGTTTTAAATATTGGTAGGTAGTGCTTATAATTAGTAGTGCTTTAATATAGGTAGTGCTTATAATATAGGTAGTGCTTATAATTTTTATAATGGAAGTAACGCGTCAAATATTGAAAGTATAAGTTCGCATTATTGAGCACTTCTTTACTAGTGAAGTTCAGTGTTTTTATTTATAATATAATTTTATATATAACTTTTATATAACTAGTTTAGAGTGAAAGGTTTTAACAAAGCGACTTTTAGAGAAAATATTTAAAGCTTATTCAGTATTTCTTGATTTAGTAATTATTTATTAGAATTTTTCACTAAACTGCTTCTGTCACTAAAATTTTTCACTAAAATGTCTTTTCATGCTGAATAGAAAGTATATAAGGAAATAATTTATACGGTGATGGCAAAATTATTATGATAATTAGGTTTTGCCCAGTAATTCAAAAGTAAGTTCTCCAGTAAATTAAAAAGAAAATTAATTATTTTTATCCATGTTTTCTTAACATTTTTCTGATGTATTGCTACTATACTATTTGTTTAGATAACTTTTTACCAATATTAGAGTTTTGATTTAACGCTCAATTAATTCAAGACATCTTTATTAATACAATTTTTTTCATGTTTATACAGTCCGTATTTTATATTTACACAGCGAATCAGTGAAAAAACCCCAATCCATTATTCATGCATGCGAGTTTCATTATTCACGTTTGCGAGTTTAAGTGTTTATGAGTGTCTTTCCCTATTTATTACCCGCATTCCTCATTCATTATTCAACTCTGTCTTTAACTAGTGTTATTTTTAAATAAATTAAATAATTTCGAGAAACAGAATATTACCTGAATAAAAATCTCATTCACGTCAGAAATAATAAATAATAGTCGATATTTTTCAAACACTTCAAAAATAGGCGTGCCAGACGTGAAAATAAAGAAACAAAAAAGATTTGAAATTAAAAACGTAAAGTTGCCAACAAAAAATGGAAAAATATAGGTGAGAAATAAAACTAGAGAAATCACAGAACCGAGAAAGAAAAAAGATGAAAAGGGAAACAAGATAAATTGCAGTGGTCAAGAGACAAATCTGGGTAAAATGTATTTTCACGGATGGAAACATGAGGAGGAACTATTGGCGTAACCAAGGGAATCAGCACTAAAATGAATAGAACAAGATTCCAGGGTATCTAGATGAGCTGATGTGACAGGAGAGGAAATAATTTTAGCATTGTTGAAATGGAATTTATACCCAAGTTTTCAACAAAATGAAGCAGTTAAAGATTTCTTGAATTCTTGATAACGGATATATCTATCGTGTTCCTTAAGTCTGAAATTCAAAGCGTGCTTAATTTGCCCTATGTAATTAAGGTCATACTGACAAGGAATGTGGTAAATGACCCAGCGATTATCAAAGCTGATAGGATCTTCAAGAGATTTAAATTTAATTTTGTAAGCAGATCTGAAAAACTGAAACGCGAGAGAATATTATCCAAAAAAAAGGTTAAGCGACAAGTTCTTTGTAAGGATTACAGGAAGAGGGATGTTCAATTATAGATGTGTTAAATCCACGGCTAGCAACAAACAAGCAGAGAATGTTAAGTTCGGAGTTAAAAGAAAAAGTGTCAGAGCAAAGGCTATGTGCAAGGAAAAGGAAAGTATGAAATGCAGACATTTTTTGACAATTACGGTAATTAAAATTGACATGAGAGTACAAAGAGACCACAAAATGCTTATGGTAAACAGAGGTGTAAAAATAATCAGGGTAATTAGTTACAAGAACACCTGAAAAAAGGTAAAATGAAATTAATCTTCGGGTCTAAAGTAAATTGAATGTAGGGGTCAATCGAGTTGACAACAGAAAGTAGCTCTTGAAGATCAGAATCATTGTCTACTAAAACAAGCGTATCGTCTGTACATTTTTTTCGTCATAAGAATTTGAACAGTTTGAAAACTTTATCTTCGAAATAGTGCATGATAATGTCACAAAAAATGGGAGGGTGGAAGTTGGTTAAACCGTCAAATTGTTTATGGAATTGAAACGTACTTTTCTGAATATGAGAATTCCCAAAGGTATCTAAAGATATCTTCAATTTCAATGAAAGAATAGTGAAAATCTTGTAACCTTAGTTTTAAATAATCAATAGCATTAAAACATTAGTGAAAAGAGAAACAACAAGAGGGAGTACAATTTTGTTGAAGAGGGAAAGATGTAACAGGGAAACAAAATCATAAGAATTTTTAACGCTATGGATATGGTGAGGTGTTATGTTTTTGTTTTGTTTGTTTCTTTACTTTCAGGTCTGGCAAGTCTTGAAGATGGATGCCTATTTTCAAAGAGCTTTAAACATGTCGACTGTTATTTTATATTTGCTTATTTCTGAAGGGAATTATGGTTTCAATCAGGGAATAGTGTTATTTTGATTTATTTCCCAGAGTAAAATTGTGTTCTGCAAATCATAATCAGCACAGTACTGACGCAACTGAAATTTCGTCTATGAATTTCTACTAAGAATTTCATCTGTTATGAATTTCTGATACAGACATTCTGTTTCTCCCATGAAATTACAGAAATACAAATCATAATCAGAACAATAGTAACACAACTTAAAATTTCGACGATGAATTTGAATTTCGCCTGTTATGAATTTGTGGTACTGACATTATATCTCACTCATGAAATTACAGAATTACAAATCATAATCAGCACAATAGTAACACAACTGAAAATTTCGTTTATGAATTTGTATTAAGAATTTCGTCTGTTATGAATTTCTGGAACAGACATTCTGTTTCACTCATGAAGCGTGAACACGGAACCTTTAAAACTAATTCATTGCATCGTACTGTTCCCTTACAAATGACTTTTCATACTTGGAATAAAAGAGACCTACAATGTAGAATGAATGTTCACCCTACAATGTTCCAAAATTCATCTTACAATGTAGAATGAATTTATATATTTATTTAAGAACTTAAAAATTGAATATCTGGAAAAGAAAAGTATGTTTCAGAAATTTAATCAATACGAAAGTAGTTACAAAATGGGCTTTAATTCAGGCATGAATATGGGATATGTAAATAAAATAATTTTTATGATTAATGTTTAAAATACACATAGCATTATGCATACTTTATTTATGCATTATAGTTCGTTAACATAACATTCAAGTACGTAATAAGATTGGTATTTATAATACGCATCGAGAATATTTTAAGCATCGAAGTATGTACTTTGAACATAATAGTTGATATTAATAACACTAAAAATATGTATGGCACATCTAAATACTTAACTTTTTCTTAATTGTCATTTCAGGAACACATTGATTTCGGAAGAGCCATGTTTAAATCACTGATCTTGACTCTTGCTTTAGTTAGCGTTAGCTGTGCTTACGTTTGTGACCAGTTTTGCGGAATCTATTACTACGACATAGGGTGCAGACAAGGCTATCGTGCTGTTTTTGCTCAATGTAACTGCTGTGTGACTTGTGAAAAAGTTTTGTGTGAGTCTGAAATTGTTTTTTAAGTCTTTTTTGGAAGTATGCATTCCTCAACTTTTTAATAGGCGTCTCAATTGTATGAAAAACAAACACACGTGTAATATTTCCGTTAAAAATTATTTGACTAACATGCACCGAAATTACTCGAGAATCTTAAATTATAATTTATTCATAGTAATTATACCACATTAAAGCTAAAACAGTCAAATTACCATAAAAAGGATCGTTTACAAACTGTTAACTGTGAGAAAAATCATTTATTGATTTTTTTCTCCATATACGGTTAATAAGTAGAATTTTATTTTAGCCAAAAGCGCAAATCTGTCCATCTCATGGCCGGTTGAACGGAGTTTCGAATTCCAGCATTGGCACCATAATATTTCTTCTATTCCTTCAGCACATGAAGAGTTTTCAGTGTCCAGCATTCTTCAATTGGTGACACTAGACTGTTAGGATTCGAAATACTTATTCCATCTTAGATGACAGCACCATAGGGATGATTAACGGTCAAGAGTCTAATGTTTTCCATCGCTCACGATAGATGGCACCACCAAATGAATTAGTTAAATTAAATTCTGCTGTTCACGCGAAAAAGGCAACTCAATCACGATCTAACTTGAATGTACACTATCTAATAGAAATCCTAATGTTTAGTCAAGTCTCATTTTAACGTCTTAGAAACACGCTAGTTACAAAATCCTATATCTTTGTATTTATAATTTTGCAACCATTCCCGTTGTAACTGTTTTGAAACCGTACCGTTGTAACTGTTTTGTAACCCGTCGTAACTGTTTTGAAACTGCAAATTAATGTTCCTAATGATAAACTTTATGGTTAATCGGATGGACAGATTGCTCAGCGGTAATTTCATCATAATTTTAGGATGAAAATTCTAAAAGTGTGCTGTAATTAATAAGTTTTTGTCACTTAGATATTTATTTATTTTTATTTCTGAAATTGGACTTTTGAAATTGTAAAATTTATTTTAGTATCATGAGTTATTTTTTATCAAAAACAACTTTTATGCTAGTTTGCAAATTTTTCTTTTTTGGCGTTAACCAGCATGTTTTTCTCGTGAAGGTCTTATGAAGTCTCACACAGTGTGTTAAAACAATATTTTTGAAAGATTTGCTCTTAAAAATACTGTATCGAGTTACCGCAACTACGAATCTTCAGTCTTTGAAAAAAAAGTTTTTTTAGTTCAATTCTAGATCTTTATAGCTCCCCTGACTTCCATTTTATTTCAAATCATATACAATCAATTAATATAATCAAATACAGCAAATCGATATAATAAAACGTAGCAAATAAATTTTTAATAACTGTTGTGTTTTAATTCTCAATTAAGTTTTAAAAATGAATTTCTAATTTTTTCCAGGGAGTTTCAAAAAAATTAAAATAATACGAATTTTTACTACATTGAATTCGACGAAAAAAATATTTGTTCCATACCATATATATTATAGAAAAAGAAATGAATGAATATTTAATAAATTTATACAAATTTATTTAGGATAAAAATTCAAAATTGAGTGTTGGTGATAATCACTGAATGAATACCATCATGATTAATAAGCATTTTGCAAATAATACAAACATATTTGTAATTGATTTATAATTGAGAAAAGATATTCGTTAAATAATTACATTTTAAAAATAATCTTACTGTACAAATAAACATAAGTTACCTTGTTTGCGAATTTTTTTACATTTAAGCGAATATTCGTTATTAAGTATTATTATTAAATAATGCATATTTTATTTTCAAATCATTATGTTTTTATAGGAATTCAGAAATAATATTTTCCCAAAACTTATGTGCTGCCACTATGTGTATAAATGTTTCATAATAAGAAATCGTATTTTGAATTTTTATATTATTATTAAAAAATGCATAATTTATTTTAAAAACGTTATGTTTTGTGGGAATTAATAAATAATATTTTTACAAAATTTTTGTGCATTTATGTCACAATGCGTGTAAATATTATCATAATTAAAAATCGTATGATGAATTTTCATATTATTATTAAATAATTCATATTTTATTTTGAAAACATTATGCTTTTATGAGAATTAAGACATAATGTTTTCGCAAAATTTATGTTCTTGCACGAAGTGCATGATATAATCATTCACTAAGGGAGGCTAATTTTTGGAAAAACAAATAAGTTGCAGGCGCATTCTTTAGTAAACAATGCAACAGGAGTGTTATTTATTGTGTTAGTTACTTTCACAATTAAAAACTGCAATTTGATTTTTAATGATTTTTTATGAGGATTTCTGACCGCTGAAAAGCATTCGATAGATAGTTTTCTGCAAATCAAAATACTGTAAAAGAAAAAAAATGGTCAATTTATGATTTGATGGACCATTTAATGGGTCATAATGTGCTTAATTTTGTAAATTTACTTCCATTTGGTAGCCTTGAAAAAAGGGTAAGTGAAGTATTTATTTTTAAAAAGTGAGTTTGTTCGTAGTCAGATAAGCTTTTGCAGTTCAATGTACCAAATAAAATATGGTTTAAAAAGCCAAAAATAGAGTTTTCATTATGAACAAGTAGCATTATTGAAAGTTGTAGTTTAAATTTCATATGCTTTTCACCTCAACGGCGCATTTAAATTGGGTTGGAAAACTACTCGCATCATTTTTTATCCATTACTCTTCAAACTTACAGCGGTTGACAGCGATAACGATGCGTTAGATTTTGAAAGCTAATATACTTTAAGATTAAGCAGATGGATTCAAAAATATGTATTCAAAAATTAAAATGCAGGTCGAGAGAATCTAAGTATACATATTTCACACGGAAATATACATGCGAAAATACCACGATAAGCCGATAGACAGCCAATAAATCCATTCACCACTGTAAATCTGGCGTCCCTGTTCAAGAAACTGTTGTAAACTGTAACTGATTGGACACTATTTGATTTTTATAAGAACGTACCAGCGCAAATGCAGTGTAAAAGCATGTAATTAAGCATTAATCAGAAGTAAGTTAAAATTCACGTTAGACAAACAAAAACAATGATTTATGACCTGTTTACAATAGCTAATAATCAAGCAGTTTGCATATAAATTGAGGTTTACAGTAACTGCTAGAAAGATAGTAAACAAGCAACTTTGGTTACAACAGTGCTCTTTATCGGCTAATCGTGGCATCTCTGCTCACATATTGCTGTATGAGGTTTGCTTATTTTGATCTCCTCTACATGTCTTTATACATTTGCCATACATTTTTGAATTAACCTGTATCACCAAGGAGAAAGTTTCAAGTCTATATGCAATTATTTTACAGATCCGGGAGATTCATGTGTGAACTATGCTGAGCCCGCAGCTATCAGTCCAGGAAATGTTCCAAGTGCAGAAAATAGAGTACCTGTAGTAACTAGAAGCTATCCCCGATGTGCTCAAGGACTTTATTGTAATGAATACACTCACGAATGTCAATATATTAATGGATAAGCATAAAATATGGATAATTTTTTTGCTTCGCTTGAAAAGTTTTATTTTTTATATAAATAAAACAATATATAATTAATTATATTATTCTAGTTTATTGCTTTTTATTATGTGCAAGCTTCTTTTTTCTGATTGTTTCTTTTGGTATATAGGGTTGTCCTAAATATTTATATTTACAGCTCTTGTTCAAAAGGAAGTTTAAAATGTAAATGCAAATTAATATTAAAGGAGAATCAAAAATACTATTGAAATCTTTTAAATAACACCAAAGAAACACCAAAACTAGTTTTATAGCAAGATGAACTTAGATTAATTGAAAAATATAATTTTTTTAAGATGAACTCTTGTCTCAAAATAATAATATTATTTCCCCCAAAAATGTAATAGTAATAACGCTTTAACTTATTTTATTGTCTATATTAAAGTCTTAAGATATATTTTGGCAATTCCACATATTACCTGTCATAATTTTAAAAAAATGAGTTACAGTTGCAGATAACTGTAACTATTTTTGAATTTAGTTCTATCGCCTCCGGCAATCAAACAAATTTTGATGATAAAATATAAAAAAGTAATTAAAAATATCTATACATTTAGAATTATTTATAAATACTTAACAATTAAGTATTAGTTTAAAGATGATGAAAGTTTAGAAACAGAAATATCAGATAAGAAATTAAGTGTGCTCTAACTAACATTTATGTAGGAAATACTATAAAATATTTTATATTTTAAATCAGTTATTGAGACTGCTAACCACACGAAATTGCACAACAAATAAGCATTAAAATAAGTTATTTTATTTGCAAGACATCGAATAATCACTACAAACAATTAACAATCATAATTTGCAAACAATTGACAGTCACTTCAAATAGTAGTTTTGCTTTAACTATCCGTCCAATTAAATTTTTTAAGGAAATACATGCATGAAAGATTATATTTCGACACTGTAAAAATCCTGTAATTTGATCCGATACTGTAATTTGATCCGGTACATATTATACTTAAAAATCCATTTTTACCATAAAATTTTATGGAACAAAAATTCAGTAACTGTAATTGTTACAGCAATATTTACTTCTCTTTACCTTCTTTTTTAAAGTGTTAAAGAACGTATATAAAAGCCAGTACAAATAAATATTGTTCCGGTGATAGTCATGAAATTGATAAATAAATCTTGAGAAGATGAATTCATCATCTGTTTGAGAACGATTTCTACTCTTGATTTCGGAATGATGATTCATTTTCGACTGCAGAAACCTTCGTTAGCCTTGTTTTGTAAAAGCAGATTCAATCTCGATATAAAAAGGTTGTTTGTGCAAGCTTAATGCAAACCTCATAAAAGAGTTTAAATTTAGCCTTGTTTCAAGCTTGCATGGTTTGTTTGCTAATCAATTTAAAACCTTGCTGGACTTAGTGATAAATGCTACTGATGACATTAAAATCAACCTTTCATTGCTACATGGGATTACCATTTCTCAAAAAACATTTTGTTAACCTTTTTTTTATAAAAATAGTGTGAATTAATTACTAACTCATCAATGCTCATAGTAGTAGACTAATTTTATCAACCCTTATTAATTTTCAGCTTTTTTAAATAATTATTTATTATAAATGTGTATACTTGCGTTTTGAAATATTTAGAATTTATTGTGAACTTCTAAAATTCCATTACTGCCACTGAACTGGCATTTGATATTGAATTCTCAAACTGTTTTACAAAATAAAAGCGAAATTCGATTTAATAAATCCCTTCTAATAGTTTTTTACGTAATAGGTATATAGTTTAATTATTAATCATGAATTAATATTTATATAGATTCTATATACAAGGAGAAAAAAAATTCCATTCAAACTACCGTATTTAATTATATTGACGTTTCTTGTATAAAATAACCCATAGTTCTCAAAATGAAACCAAAATTAATGATATTTATGTAGCATTTATTTCATAATTTTTCCGTTTCTACGGTAATGGTTTACCAATAATTCTGGTTTTTTAAAATTGCAACATTTATGACCAAAAATTATTAAAAAATTCAAAACTCAAAAGTAAAACTTAATCAAATAAACTTTGTTTTGGCTGTACCTTCTCATAATACTAAATTTTGTGACATTTACTAAACTTTGTCACATATTATAACACTATATTTCATAAAAAAACAACAAAAAAAAACAATTTCCAAATTGCGTCGTTAAAAACTACAAACACAATTGGTGTTCCCATAGAGCCAGAAACATGGTATATCTAACTATATACTGGTAGTTTTGATTACACTTTTTTCTCAGTTAAAAATCCGTAAGATAAGTTAAAGTTCGACAGACAACTTGCATGATGGAATTTTCTATCACTACAAGTGTTAGCTTTAAACTTGACTTATACAAATTTTTCCCCGATTAAAAATATTTCAAAATTTTTGGCATATTGTTAAAAGCATAATACACATTGTTTTAGATATTTGACTTTTGTTACAAACAACATTCGGGAATAATAAAAATATTAGAAGTTTTTAAATTTGGTGCAGAATTACTAATAATGTATTAATATTGTAAGTGTATATCTTCTCAAAACGAAACCCGATTTTTTGTTGACCAAACTACATAATAAAATATTTCATCTAATGTCTTGGGGCCGTTCATGTAAATGTAGTATTCTCATTTCATGATTGATTACTTTGAAATCTTACATTGAAATTCTTACTTTGAAATCTTACATTGAAATTCTTACTTTGAAATCTATACTTTTAAATATAGATATTTTAAAAACTATTTTTAACTGTTAAAAGCCTTAACAATTAGAATTATGAAATTTTAAATTATATAAGGCAAAAAATATTATAATACGCTTATAAAAACAGAAATGGACAGAGAAAAATCATCATTATTCTTAACTAAAAAACATTTGCACGAAAAAAATTACGTCATGTTTATAAATATTTTATTACTCTTCAAGCCTCGCCGAAATCCCGTATACTTTAATACAAATTTTAATGTTTTTAAAATTACACTCAAAAAAGTTCTTTGAAGATAATTTCACATGATGATTGAATCATTAATGTTGTCATACATTCAGTATAACATTTCATAACTTATATGTAATTTTGGAAATTTTATAAAAAAAAATTACTTTTTCTAAATTAATTATTTCCTGTTTCAGAAATCGTTTTTAAAAATTGGCATCATGCTTTTCATAATATTGGCATGATTAATTAAAATAAAAACATTTTCTTCAAATATACTTTGAAATAACCTTTTATCATTTCTTCAAATAAATGCATATTTTACCGTTAATGACCGAAATCAAGAGAATGTCGACTTTCACAGGTGAATCTCAACAATCACATTATCGTTTAGGTGAATGTAAGAAAGATTTGTTTTATTTTTTATGATTTGATATTAATTTATTCCTTAATATTACAATATTTATTGGATATGTTAATATCTGCTGAGGATAGATTAGGCCCGGAGTACCTGTTAAATGCATACTAGCAGTTGCACTTGACCTTAAAAAACATTGATGTAGGGCAAATGTATACCGCCCAGTGGCACTAATCCTTAAAAAACATTGATGTAGGGCAAATGTATACCGCCCAGTGGCACTGATCCTTAAAAAACATTGATGTAGGGCAAGTGTATACCGCCCAGTGGCACTGATCCTTAAAAAACATTGATGTAGGGCAAATGTATACCACCCAGTGCAACTGATCCTTAAAAAACATTGATGTAGGGCAAATGTATACCGCCCAGTGCAACTGATCCTTAAAAAACAATGATGTAGGGCAAATGTATTCCGCCCAGTGCAACTGATCCTTAAAAAACATTGATGTAGGGCATCCCGGGCAAATGCATACTGGGAAGTAGCACTTAACTAGACCGAGTATATATTTCGGAAATTTACCAAGGCGACTCAGTGATTTCACCGGTGGAAGTCAAAAACCATCAATTTTGGTAACTCACACTAACATATATACTTGAATATTCTCAGAATCTTATTTTTTGCTATTAAGACAATAGCTACAAGCAATAGATATAAGCAAATGTTCGAATGCTAAATTTGAAAACTTAAATAAGAAAAACCAATTTGTCACAAATAATTTGTTCGATTAAATAGATTTTACATAAGAGGATAGACGTTTTTCTGGAAGCGTTTTTTTTTAAATACGCAGAAATACTGAAATTCTGACTAAGCCTTTATAGATACCACATGAAAGCTATTCTATAAATAATTTACCCACATTTGAAAAACTACGCCATACATTTTGAAACAAACTTATAAAGTTTTGAAAATATTCATTTAAACTCTATAATATTTATTACTTTTTAAAGAACAAATTAGATGTCTTATAGCAGCCAAAAATAAAAGTATTATAAAGTAGTATTATAAAGTAGAAATTAAAGAAATAGCTTAGATAAAATAGATTTGTGTTTTCAAAGTTATTTTGTTTTGTTAAGTTTAATTATTTTAGCCTTTGGCTTTCTTACGTTGCGTTATATTTTAGTAAAATATAAATTTTAGTTTCATATATTTCTTATATAAAAGCAGAAATAGTCATCGTGCGTATAATTGAATAAAATGTTTATAAAAAAATAATGCTGTTCTTAAATCGTAAAAATTATGCTAAGTGCGAAAGATAAAACTTTTGATCTTACTTAAAGATTTTCATTATAAATGTCGATTGTTATTATTCACATGGACAAAAAATTCTATTTAAATTGCAGTACTGTAAGGTAACATTTATGTATAAAAAATATAATTTTGGTAATATAACCGAAATATTTGATATTTATAAATTTTTTCTATGGAAATTTTTCTGTTCACATGGTTACGGTTTACCGGAAATTCTTTTTTTCAAAATTATTTTCATTATCAAGCATTCAGTAAACAATCTAAGGCATTAAAAAGTAAATTTAACAGAATTCATGGCTTTTAGACCATGCACTACGAAACCATGATATAATTCCTAAATTTTGCCACAATTGTAAAATTTTGTCACACATTATAACACAATACTCTATGGATAATTAATACAAAATCATTACTAAAGCGTTTCGTTAAAATTAATTGTTCTCATAATAAACCAAAACCACGGTAAATTTAACCCTATTCAGGAAGTTTTTAAAATACCTTTTTTTTCTCAGTATTCTTATCTCTATTACCAAATTCTCAATTATAATAAATTTTAACTTATTCGAATTTAGAACTTAAGCTGTTTTTACTATTATGTAAATTCAGTCAGAAAAGATGAAAAATAAAATATTATATGCACATGTATAAATCATAAATTTAATACATAAATTCATTAAGTAAAAAGTTTAAGAAGCGAAGTGACAGCTATTAAATCTTTAATTTCATTTAAAATTTTCTAATTTATAATGAAGTTATAAAGCGGAAAAGGAATTTATAAGTACTTATATGATCTAGAATATTTAATAATTATTTTACAAATAGCGTAAAAAAAAGAAAGTTTGCATTTTTGAAAGATTTACAAATTGCAAAAGTTCTGATGTCGAAATACTTTAGCTTAATTCAGTAAAATGATAAAATTGCTATATTAATACCACTAATGATGTATCTTTTTTTAGAAACAAATGACAAATTGGGTTCCTGGATATACTTTCAGAGTTTATTTAGGGTGATTCCTGGAGGAATGATGTGTATCTAAACTGATATTTCAGTTTACGAATAACGTAATAATGACAATCTATTTATTCACTTGGGGATGCCATTAAAATTTGTTTTTGAAATGTTTACTCAGATTTTAAATGTTCAGGAAAAGTTAATTTGGAGATTGAGAAATATCATCCTAATAAATGCCACTGCGATCTTAGGTATAGTATAAATATCCCACAATTTGAGAATTAATCTATAAGTAATTATAGGAGATACGAGAATACGCTTTCTTAAAAAGTAAGTTTTTGTATATATTTTGGTTGCTTATTAGGTGTTAAGAATTATCAATTTTTTTAAAGACCCCTAAATACAAAAGCATTTTAATGGTGTAATCCTAACTGGCTCTTGAGCTTAATGATAATAAGTATTAATAATCCTTCATTGTGCTTTTCAGAAAAGAAATAAAGGGTTAAGTAGATTTTGTTTTCGATTCAGTCACGAGAGTGAGTTAATGAGTTTGACATTTGTATTTAAATAAAAAGTTAGCCGTTACATTGATTGTTAAGAAAATAATAAAATATTTTTGCTAGCTTCTTATAAAATGTAGTAAAAATTAAATAATTGGTTTAAATGAATTAAAATATGATTAAAAATGATTAAAAAAATTATAATTATGAAATCAAATAAATTTTAAAAGATAGGAAATATGTAATGCCTATTGTGTCATCACAAGAGAGTAAGGACTATCAAGAAATAAGGTTAAAATACTTCAGACAAGACTGCGGTCAAACGTTTGGATACCCTAAATATTTTGCGCTTTTCGTTATCTTAAAGAAGTTGTATTTTTAAACTTTTTTTCTCTAGTCCCGTTCAATTGATATTCTAAATAATTTTATAGTAAATTTTATATAAATATACCAATAAATATTACTTTAAAATTACATAGTTTAGATTGGTATAAAATGTAAATTTTTTACAATTAAAAATTTATTAGACCAATAGTAAATTAAATCTTGAAAAATTAATTAAAAAAATAAATTATTAATTTCTTTCACGGAATTATTCTTAGATTAATAAATTTCAAAGTTTTTTGATTTGCTTCATTAGCTTTCGAGCTATGTGAAACACCCAAAAAATGAAATTAACAGTAAGAGGCCAGACATTCCGACCAGTTTTCCATCTAAACTATCGGCCTTATATTAAGGCTGTCCTACCAATGTAGCAAAAATGATGCGTGCTTATTCTGAGAAAGTATATTTTTGAGTTTGATTTGGTAGCGTTAAATATCATTTGCCCTCTTTAAACCATTTGCGTCAAGTCTTTCAAGTCATCAAAGTTGGGCCCTACTACATGTAAAAGTATACAAGCAGTTTTAAAGCAATTATACGATATTTTTAGTTATTAAAAGTAAGTTAAGTAAATTACGCTATTCTCAATAAATGCTGGAAAAAAAACAAATTTAACAAAAAATTAAATATTCATTACTAATGCGAAATTTTTCCTAATCTATGGAACTGTGACATGGCACTGCAAGATAAATTACATGAAACAACACCGAATATGTAGATTATAGTTTACGAAGAATACTCTTTATAAGTATACTCTTTAAAAAATTTCCCTCAAATTTTGGGATACAATTTTCTTCAGTTTTGTCATCGTCCAAGCTCCAGGGTCAGACAGGAGTTTTGTAAATTAACATTCCATAAATATACAAACATATTAAATTTATTGTCAGTCACTGATTTCAATTTCGCAGTTGAGGTAAATAAATGCCGTTGATTCGAGATCAGTCAATCATTCCAGGAGTGTATTTTTAAATTATAGCACTGCTACCATCTTGAGGTTTATGTACTTGTAGCATTTATAGTGTACAAGAACAATTGGAATCATCGTAATACGATGCGTTGAAATTGCCAAATTTAGTAGAGACATACTTTTCTTGCGGTTGAAAATTTTTTTTTATATGTCAAATATTTTTAAAATTTATTCCATTACTAGATTTATTCCATTACATTTCCTTAGCAAATGTATTTTTTCCAGAATGCAATGTAAAATAACAGTCTTGTCTTTCTTTTTATCTTTTCTCCCATCGCCGTTACCCTTTTGAAAATGTCTGCCCACTTAAATGTAAAAATTCTGATGACGTGTATAATACGTAAAGATACCTTTAATGGTATACGGAGGGGAAAAAATTCTAGTAAAATTACCGTACCAGATAGAAGAACCCACATACCTGGTAAACCAAAAAATACGATACTTAAACCATACATTTGATAAATTTTCCATTTATATGGAAGCAGTTTACCAACATTTTAGTTCTCATTAATGCGCATTTAGTAAAAAATACAAAACTGAAAAGTAAATTTAACTAAATAAATGGTTTAAAGTATTGTGATAAAATTATTTGTTTTTTCTCTATTCACTGAATTTCAATATATTTCATATTGTTAATTTTACCGAAAGTTCTTATTAAAGCACTTCGGCATAAATTAATGAGCTTTTTCAGTGTTCCAATAGAGCCAAAAATACGGCAAATTTTACCATATTCTGTTAGTTTTGGAGATACTTTTTTTTAAGTGCACTGATAGATGCTCTGATTCAACCAGACGCTATGGGTTTAGCTATCAAATTATCTTTTATTAAAAAAAGAACTCAGATATTTAAAGAAAATTTTATTTAAAATTATAGTTATATTAAATACTTACTTACTAACCAATATTTTAAGAAGAAAAAAGTAATTTTTCACTTCTGAAACAATTTTTGTTCTTTCTCCTTTCTTGGATAAAATTTGTGTCTTCAATGCCTAAAATACCAAAATATAGACATTAAATGCCATCAAAATAATTCATTTATAACTTATAGACTATTTTTTTCCTCTTGTAATTGCTTTTGTTAGAGATATAATTACCTTCCTATATTACTTAACATTAAATAGCATGTACAAAAAAGTTTTTTTTCAAAGTTTAAAGGGCTTTGCGTAAATAACCAGCAGCATCTCTATTCGATTAACCATACTTAAAGCAGCCTCTTATCCAATTAACCTTACTGTAAGGAACATTTTTCGCACTTACAATTTTGAAACCGTTTAATACTAGTATGGTTATAAAATCATTAATACCAAACTGCACGCTTTTTTACCTATTACAACTAGCATGGTTTCATAACGGTAAAAATAAAATCAACTTGGCATAGACGCTAGGCTTTTTATTATCTAAAGGTCATTGGAGAGTGCATGACACTGGAAATCTTTATATGTTGATGGAAATGGATCAAATATTGTGGTGTCAACGATGGATAAGGTTCTGTCTGTCATGAGACTGCCTGATTAGCCGCATCACTTATGGTATGCACTCTGTTGTAAGGAACTAAGTGGCCTAAATCAGTGGGCTTAGTTGGTGCTATAAAATTTTGGTTATTTAACCGTATTAGGCGAAAGCAGTTTTTAAATGGTTTTCTCTCAGCTAACACAGTTTAATTACCATCTTATTTATGGTTATTTGACTGTTTTGTTTGAATGTGGTAAAATAACAATTAAATGAATTGCTATTTAACCATTTCCCCTGAAATTTCTAGCAATGTAACTCACTAATGTGAGTTTCGCACTTCCGTTACTTTATTATTAAGTGCTCTTCTGTATGTACAACACAAAAAGTTGGATTTTCAGTTCAACAAGTTCTAATATCCTTAAACGTCATATAATTCTTTTTATGCGTTCAGAAATTCTGCAGTGATGTTATCTTTAAAATTTAACATTTTAGTGACATTAAAATTAACTGTTTTCTTTGATATATTTCAAATTACGAATTCTCAGCAGTCTTTTAAAATGTTTGGATTTCTCTAATTTGCAACCACGTAAAACATTTTCATCATATCAAATTGGATAAACAGACTAATACCATTTATTTTACCATAATTTTAGAGCGAAAATTATAAGAGTGTACAATTATCAATAAGATGTAAACAAATATTCTAAAATAACCAAATTTTGTCTTTATAGGGAGAGTAAAGAGACATCCCAACAATGTATAACATTTTCATTGTCATACTTGCCATTTTCCAAGTGAGTTATGCTGTCGTATGCCCTACCAGAGATTGTGGCATAACTAACTGTAATATCAAATGTAATGAAGGGTTTAGGGAAGTTTTTGCACTATGCGACTGTTGCCTTACTTGTGAACAAGTGTTAGGTAGGTTATGAGCTTATAATGTATATGATATATTAATTTCACTTTTCTAAACAGATGTTGTGAACTTTCGGCTTAAATTTAGGACGTTTTCTTAACTTTTTAAATATTAGGAAACTTAAAAACTCAAGAAACCTCTTCTTTTCACATTTCATAAAACACCTTGATTGAACCAAATTTCATAATAAATTTCATTCAATAACAAATTTCATTCAAATTTCATAATTCCTTTAAAATAACCAAATTTCATAAAACACCTTGATCATTCATCACTGTTTAACTTATAGCCAAGATTTTGCAAAAAAGCAAAGATAATTTTTTTGAAAATGAAATATATAATAACGAATTAATGCAGACACATTTTACGAACATATTAGTCATATTGAAATGAATGATTACCCGTATTTGAAAAGTAATTTACATTGTAAAATTAGATTTAGAAACAGTAGGAAGAAAAAAAAAGAGTAATTTTACTCGTTTAGTGATAAATAACGATATTTTTCTGTCATCATATCAATCCAAATAGGAAATGGTTCTTATCTCCCTTGAAGTTTTTATAATAAAAAATTTCAATATAAATGCCGTTGAAATAAAGATATCAAAGTGAAAATTAGATATAGACGAGATATATCGAAGTATAAGCTATATATAGAAGAGAGAGATCTAAGTAAAAACTAGATATTGACGAGAGATGATGAGGTAAGAACTGTAACTATTATTATAAGTAGATACCATTTATTTATTATTAATACATTATGGAAAATTTGAAATTCTTCTTGGTCACCACAATGTTGCGAGACTCTAACAGAAAATTGAATATTACATTAATTGTTCTATCATATTGCCCTAGAAATCGTCTGATACACGTTTTTTCTTTTAAAATAAAACGAGATTAATTCTAGCTTATAGCTCACACACGATTAATAAATAAATAAACGGAGTCTATTTTTAACAAGCATTATTTAAACAAAAAACTGAAATAGTAATAATATATTTCCTTATTTTATTACCGTTGCTGAACAGCCAACCCAAAATGTTGGGTTTAAGACTACTAATGTTCAACTCCGTAGCCTTGTAATTTAAACCTTATCTAGAAGATAAAGGAGCTGCTGGGTTAAGTATTAGAAGAAATTTGACTTCGTGGAGGAGTTTTTGATAGAAATAACTCATAATTGCGTTACGTGGAAAGAAAAACTACGAAAACCTCTCAAGGTTAGCCTGACGGCAAAGGGACTCTAACCCCATGATCCTTCCACCACCGATTTACGTCCTCGCTGTAGTTTGTGCAAGCCAGATGCGGAATTCGTATCAGCCAGTCATCGCTAGGATTCAAACCCGGTTCACCTCGTTGGAAGGCGAACGCTCTATCCCCTGAGCCATCACGGCTCTGCAATAATATATTAGAATTAAAATACAAAACAAACACATAACAAAAACTGGAATTAAACAAATATATTAAGTTTGAAAATAAAAATGGCCTGCTCTATGGGTCGCAAAACGGCAGTCCAAAGGGTATATCTTAGCCCAACTTTAACAGTTTCAGGACTAACACTCGCATGCAATTTTTTTTAATTTCATTGTATTCCCTGTATATTCGAATAGAAGTCTCATTTGACTTAAAGTGTCTAATTCTTATAGAGTTTACGCAGCGAAACAAAATAGAATACTCAAAACAGCGATGATGGTTTCGATTTTTTAATATTGAGAGATTTTAAAAAAATTCTAAAAACTGAAAAATGTGCAATGTTAAATTATCCGACTAAAATTTCTAACTGCTGGCTTATGTTGCTGCAAATTTAAAAAAAAATTATGCATATTTATCGTGTTTTTGAACCATGCATTTTAAGAACTATATAGTTTCAAAACAATGTGTGGGGAAAGTACTAAAAATAAAGCTGAATTATTTAGTTTCCTCCGCGTAATTGTATAAAATGTTAAGGTTTTATTGTAAACGACATGCAACTTTTTAATTATTCCGTTATGTGCATGCTTCTACAGTAATAAAACGTATAATATAATGTAATACTGGATATTGTATGATATATAATAGCTATATCAATGTATAGATAAAACAAAGTAAAAAAATATATAGACTAAGTTATTGTGTGTGTGAATGTGTGTTTCTACAAATAATTATCGTATAATATGCAATATAGTACGTATAAAGAAAAACTCGTTTATTGCGTATTTATCAAGTGGAAATAAAAGTCTATAATAAATCACATTAAAATCAAAATGTTCATGAGATAAATTCAAATGTAGCTATTTTAAAAGATATTTCATACTTTTAAAATTAACATTTTAGCATTAATAATAACTTTATAAACGTAAGTGCTCTACATTGTCACCAATTGCGATAATAGTATAATAAGTGACAAGAAAAATAAACTATCACGATTAGGTGAAATCAACAATTCAGTTTCAAATGCATGTGTTTAAAAACAAAAAAATTTGAAATCAGATTTCATAACAGTATTACAGTTAAAATCAAATTTCATAAATGGATTGGATTGTTGTTAATTTACGTCGCACTAGAGCTGCACAATGGGCTATTGGCGACGGTCTGGGAAACATCCCGGAGGATTATCCGAAGACATGCCATCACAATTTTGATCCTCTGCGGAGGGGATGGCACTCCCGCTTCGGTAACCCGACGACCTGCGCGCGAAGTCGAGCACTTTACGGTAGCACAGTTTAACGAGGACCCATCCCGCACACCCTCGGTCCCTACGCAGACTGATCCAAGTGGTCACCCACCCGCACACTGACCGCAGCCAGTGATGCTTGACTTCGGTGATCTGCTGGGAACCGTGTCTTAACGATCAGTCCACTGCAGGACCAAATTTCATAAATGATGGTCAAAATTTTCCGCAATCAAGCATTTTTCTCCTCTCCGTTCACACTAAAAACCTATGACTTGAGAGCCTGCAATAGTACCTACTATATTAGAATATTTGGAACATATTGAAAATAGAACCAATTACTCTAATACCAGATATACTAATTAATAAAAATAGTTAAGCATTACTAGTGTCAATAATAATTGTATTGAGAATTATTTTGGGTGAGATAGCATGGTTAGTAGGGAGTTTCGCCCATGTTCAAGGGGTCGTGAGTTCGATTACCACCAGCCGATCTTGACTGGTGCACATTACATCTGTCGGGTCACAAAGCTCCCTCATGTTCTCATAGCAAATCAATACCTCTGTGGGGACTGAATTATAGATTACTCGTTCACTGATCAAAATTATAACCTGTGGATGAATACATAGATAAATGAATGGGTTCGCCCTATAAACAAGCAGTGACGTGCGTGCTTCTGAAGTAGTATTCTTTGCCACAGATGGCACCATTAAAAAAAAATAAAGGCACCTTCTGCCTTAAATTCACTTGGTTTCACTAAGCATGTTTGTGGACAAGAGTCATTAGAAACAACAAACAACAAAAGCAGATTTACTACGGTTCCCCTTAACGGAGCAACACTTTTCTCACATTTGCATTTTAAAGCATTTGAACACAGTTTTATTTATTTCAATTATCACTGAATTTAAAATATTTATTTTTATAAAACCACGTTTGAAAAAGCGAACTGCAAACAAAATAAACACATGGTTTCAAATAAATGGAAATACTAACTTGGTGATGAGAAACGCTATCCATGTTGATTACTGAGCTTTTAAAAAGTATTTAACGTAATGAACTCATAATGAAATCATCGAGAGTTCATTTTATAACAATCGCTAGTGATAAACTATTGCAAGAAAATCGTTTTACGGACATCTTTTTCCAAACGGAATAAGTAAAAGTTTTAAGCGATTTAAGATGGGGAGGGGGGCTAAAATTGCTCTTTGTAGCCCAAGACCAAATTTCAGAACCCTAGCACCCAAGATTCTGGAATTATAAGACATTCGAAATGGCGTTCTTGGACAAGGAGAGGCAAAAATATTGAGCAAACACAAAAGAAAAATTGAAAATAGGAAGCAACTAATTTTAATCGAAGGTTTTCAATAACTTTTCACACAATTCATGACAATTTGTTGAAGATTTTTGCTTCTTTAAAATTATTTCCCAAAACTACTTCCCTTTCCTTGCAAGAATGTTTTCTTCTTACAAGAGTTCAATAAATTACGTAATTTGTTATTCTTAAATTTTCACTTATTTCTATAACATTTCATTGTTCTTTTAAAGGTTTTGGTGATCGTTGTGAAGTTATTTGTGAAGTAATTTAATATTCTCAATTTTTCACATATTTCTATAACATTTCATTATTCTTTTAAAGGTTTTGGTGATCGTTGTGAAGTTATTTATGAACCAGCTGTGGTATCTGCTAGGTCAGCTCCCAGATGTAGTCGTCGCTTTACTACAGTGAACACTTCCTATCCTAGATGCGGCCCTGGACTTGTTTGTAATGAATACCTTGGCACGTGTGTATATGATAATTTAGAGGACGAAGAGTAAATCGTGTGATTATGCATTTCATTGAAGCATTAAAATAACTGAATAACTGACAAGTTTTGTCTTAAAATTTTCTACAAATATTCACAGTCATATTTTTATTTTCGATGCTAGAGTTAAAAAGCAGCAGGTACATTTATATCGAAATTTAAAACTTTAGTACTTTTACTCATAGCTCAAATGACAAAGGTCAAGTTATCTGGTATGTCAATTTATCCGAGTGTACTGCGTTTTTTAAATGAGACAAATATGACGTTTGCCAGTTCCACAATCAAGCCAATGATTTACAGATGTTTCTGCACAGAAATCTGAAAGCATTTTCCATTTAGGTAGATGTTCCTAATTGTGTTTAACGCTTCTTGTTTAAGACCGGTACGTAATGTGTTTCTTTTCTTTTCTTTATTTTTTTTTTTTTTTGTAAGTTCATAGCTGAAAAGCCCCTTTCAACCGCTGCAGTACTCCCAGACAGAGAAAATATCAATTCCACCATGCGCAGTATGCTGCTGTATTTCTAGATCAGAGGGTCATTTTAGAAGTGAGGCGCTAGACTCTTCTACGATAACAAAAATGGAAAATGTATCACGAATTTTAACGGGGAAATGGCCTTCCGCGCGGGGGTCGGATTTGAGCAATTCGTTGTCCTCGGGGAATTTTTGACCGTCAACGACGGGAGGACGGGTGGTTTTTCGAACCCTGCTTTTTTTTAGGTTTTCCGATAAAGTAGACCGATTTCGTTTAAATTTTGTATTTTGCCTTGTAAAATTATGTTCTTTTAAATTATGTAAAAATATTATACCAAACGAAAATTTTTTTGAATGTTATTAAATAATTTTATTAAAAATAAAAAATATTTACTGAAAGTTATTTCTTACTTAAAAAACAAGTTTTATAAATATGAGACTGCTGCTAGTCATTTTAATTCAATTTTACATAACTATCCATTACATTTAAAAAAAGGACATGAATATACTCGTAATTTCGATAATAAAATGATTTGTTAGAGAATATTTATGTGTGTCTATTGTTTAATTATTCGGATTGCGGGTACCGTTGTATTTTGAGGGTCAGAAATCCGAGTTCGTCAAAAAACGGCATGTTTATTCAACGAAAAAATATTTTTGACTTTGATTTCGTAACCTAAAATAGCCTCTGCACTAATTAATAAGCATATTTGAAGTCACCCTAACAAACCATTAAGATTGAGTCTTAGAACGTGAAGATCAAAAGTTATTCGGGGTTGCTCTGTTTACATATTTTTTTAGCACTGTTCAAACCAAAATCAATTTTGGATGTGGAGTTATTGACGAAATCAAAAAATTATCTTAATTTTAACATACTATTTATGTGCTTGAATAGAGGGATAAATATGGATAAATTTTATTTTTATTTTTAATTAACACATAAATGNGATCATCAATGAATCTGAGAAAGAGAGAATCAATTGGAAGATTAACATGTGATTTTACAAATCTATATTCTTGTAGAAAAAGAAAAATATTGCAGATGTTAGTACTGAAATTATTTCCCATGGGAATACCATTAATTTGTTGAAAAAGGTGGTCATTGAAAAGAATATAATTGTTGTTAAGGTTAATATGTACTAGAAAGTTCCAGTTATCTTCATTAATAATATCACTGAGATTAAACATGCTATGAATTTGAAGAAGGTCATCATGAATTTTATTAGTTGGAAGGGAAGTATAGAGGTTTTCGAAATCAAAACAGTGAATTGAATCTACATTTTTTAAAGTTTTTAGTGTATTTAAAACCTGAATGCTATTTTTAATATTCCAATTTAAATAGTTATTATTTTTAGTAAGTTTATTAATTTTGTTATAAACTTTTTTAAGAATGTTCTCAAAGTAAATACCGATTTTTTTCATGTTACTATTAACGCCACTTGCAATAAACCTGAATTTGGTTGGAGTCTTATGGAATTTTGGATTGGCAAAAAGAAAAGGAAAATTGTTAATATTATTTGGTTTAATTTTAAGTCTTTTATAGATAGCATTAATTTTATTAATAATAATATCACTGTTGGTGTTAAGTTTTTTGTAGGTAATATTGCTATTAAGTTCATTGGAAAGAAGTTGTTTGTAAAAAAATTTTCAAATAATTGCAAAATTATTACTAGCTTTATCAACAGTGGTTATACAAAATTTATTTTGAATATTTTTAATATCTTGTCTTAAAACAGAGTTAAAAATTAAATCCTTTTGAAAAACTAATTTGTCCCTTTTAATATTGATTTTAAAATCTTTAATGATATTCTCTCTCCATTCAAAGAAACCTTCAATTGGAAAATTATGTTTGTAAGATAATTTTAAAATAAAATCATCGAGAATTTTAATAAAAATGGAAATAACTTTGTTTTTAGAAGTTGGAAAAGATGGTCTAAGTTCTGAACCTAAAGACATAAATATTTTAATTTTAACATTATCAATAATATCTAAATCCCCTGTAATAACGTGTTTATGGAAGTTATCAAAAAAAGAAGTATCTTTAAATTCATCACAATTACAAACATAGTTTAAATTTTCTGTAGCTAAATTCCTATAATTACAGATTAAATTTTTTAGACTCTTAGTGTATCTAAAAGTTGGTTTACAATTAAGTTGGATAGGTAGAAGGATTTTATTTTTACCTATAATTGCATTTATGTTAAGATTATTAAAAATTTTATTGGTAAAATCTAAAACAAAATAATCTGGTTTGGGTAAATCCTTGTGCTTATAATTATTTTTAAACCTATATCTAGCTAGATCTTCAACTAAGTTTAAAAAATTAGAAAAATATTGTTTTGAATTAATTTTTACTTGATCTAACTTTAAAAAATTTAAAAGTTTGTTGAGCTCAAATTGAGGTTATTTCCATCAAAAAATTCTCAGCGAAATCAAATTTCTTCCAATACTTGATTCAAAACTCTTCTTGTCTTCTGGATTGGGTTCAAAATTATAAGGCTACGGAGTTGAACTTTAATAGCTGCAAACCCAGAATCGGGTCGGCTGTGTTACTACGGTTACGAAAAAAAAGAAAAAACAATAAGATATAAGCAATAGCATGATATCTAGTCATGTTATAATCACACGATAAAGAATGAAAATTAACACTTTTGAAAGGTTCTACTAACTGGTTTCCAACTAAATGAAGCAAAAAAACTTTTATAATAATTACTCCTAAGAAATACTAATCATAAGCTCTTTCAAAAAAGATTTGAATCCGAATAATGGAGATAGAAAGGGTTTATAGACTAAGAAATATTGTAAAATGACTTGTTAGAAGATTTTTACTTTACCTAAAATCCGTCCTTATACATAATTTAATATTACAAGCAATTCGTGATTATATATAATTCATGATTTTTCATTAATTATATAATTCATTATTTCGCATGAATTCATTTTGGCATATTCGCGAAACATCTATAGAGATCAGGGTGAAATAAAAGACAAAAATTATTTCTATCTTTTCAGTGAAAACAATAAGCTTAGGTTTAAATACAGAAAGTTGTCTCGAAATTTTTGTGGTAATATTTCATATTAATAAAGGTTTTTCACATCGATGAAGATGTATCATAGATATGAAGCAGGTGTCTCATTAATAAATGCGAGTTTCTTTAATAAAGAAATCTCATATTAGCTCCATTTGTTGGCTGAGCTATGAGTTTTTTCAATGATTCTGCTTTTTAGGTTTTCCGATTAGGTAGACCGATTTCGTTTAAATTTTGTATTTTGCCTTGTAAAATTATGTTCTTTTAAATTATGCAAAAATATTATACCAAACGATTTAAAACCTTTCTGACTATTATTATATAATTTTATAAAAAAATTAAAATATTTACTGAAAATAATTTTTTACTCGAAATTTTTTTTAAAAACAAGTTTTATAAATATGAGCAAAAAGTTCGAGATTCGCTTAAAAAGTATGGCGATTCAAGATATGGCGAAGAATGCAAAAAGTAAAAACAACATTAAGGGCTCCAAACTTTGGACCGCTCATCGAACCCACTATGAGAACCAGAATTCCCAGATTTTAGATACAGCCATATTTTGAGAGTCTGAACTCCGATTTCGCCAAAAAGACGATATGTTTATTCAGAAAAAGTATATTTTTGCCTCTTATTTCGTGACTTAAAATATCGTCTGTGCTAATCAATAAGCATATTTGAAGTCACCGCAACAAACCATTAAGGATTCAGTCTTAGAACGTGAAGATCTAATCATTAGATCAAAAGTTATTCGGGGTGCTCCGTTTACATATTTTTTGAGCGCTGTTCAAACCAAAATTAATTTTGGACTTGGAGTTATTGACGAAATATAAAAATTATCTTAATTTTGAAAGCAATATTTATGTGCTTGGATAGTGGAATAAATATTGATAAATTTTATTTTTATTTTTAATTAACACATAAATGTTTTCATACATAAATAGTAAATTACTAAGTCTTTGCTTACGGCTGGTACAGCTACCATGATAGAAAATAAAATCTGCTATCATGCGCCGTGGGGAAAAGATTAATACAGATTTTTCCTTTCCTTGTTGATAAATTCTATCTATCATGAAACAGAATTGATAGATACGAAAAAAGAAATAAAAAGAAGCAAGCAAAAATATGAAGGAACACGAAATGATTAACTAAGCATTATTTTTATCGAAAGTAATTATCTTAGGAATAGGACAATTTGAATTCGTATACAAATTTGTTTCAGTTAGGAAAAGAGAGATATGAAAAGAGAATTATACAAAAGGAAGATTAATTCATCCAAGCATGACATGATGCTTTTCTATAAATCAATCAATTTGTCATATATAAGTTATTTCACATGGGTATGATGAATTGAATGTTATTACTAATATTTAATTACAACTAATATTCACGAAAATTAATTTAAAATGTGAATTTTTTTCCATTACAAATCTTCCTCTGCCATCCTTTTTTTACTAAAAAATTTTGATATTTTTAAAGTGCTTCATCCGCACAGTAAATACTTGAGGCACAATCAACGACAACGTTTGTTTTGAGTTTGTTTTATAGTTGGGTTTAAGGTCCATA